CCCCCTTATCTTTCCCCATCTGCTCCTCCTTATTTCCCCTTCTCATCTCCTCCCTCTTCATCTCCCCCATCTCACCGCCCTCACCTCCTCTCTTTCCCTGATCACCCTCCCCCCATCTCACCCCCCCATCCCCACTCTTTCCCTGATCATCCTCCCCCTTCCCTAGCCCACTACCCTTACACTCCCATAGCCTTACAACTCCTTTCCCCACCCCCACACCCCTTCACACACGCATGCCCTTACCCCATTAACTCACTTAAACCTCCAACCGGATGGTTTCAGTTTTAAGTGGCAAGTTTCCAAAGGTGAGTTCTCTCAAGTCCCAACCAACTGAACAGCTCTCGGGTAAACTCTCCCAAACTGTACGAAATACCACAAACACCCAACGGTTCAAGCAATTTATTCGTAACGCGCCACCTGTTCGGTAGCCCCTTGTTCCTGGTCGCCAATAACCTGTGCTGATGGCTAAAGTACCCTTACTGACATGTGTGTGTGTGTGTGTATGTGTGTGTACATATGAAAACCTAATTTCTTTATTCTGATTATATAAATCAACTGGAGCCCGCGCACCTCCCCTTTCTAATCCGACCTGCTGATCCGATCGGAAAGCTTTGCCCTAAAGTGAGGTGATCAGAGCCAATCCCACTAAAACAGCGTCCATGCCTTTGGTCTGATCAGAAAGTGCATTCAGGCCACAGGTTTCGGAGTGGGATCCACCTGAGTGGGTTTTCTGAAAACCTCGAACTGGCACTGAAAGAGATCATCTTCCGATACAAGAGAATGCTTCGGCAAAAAAAAACTGTTGTACGTAGGGCATGTTAATTGCACCCTGTTCTGGAGCTTTGCAATGTTCTCCCTTTCTATCAATTTGTATCGAGTTTAAAAGCAAATGACAACGTCTGTCCCTATTTTGTTCTCTAAACGGAGCTTTAAGCTAACGCTTTATAGTATCTCTCACGTATCCCAAAACAAATTTCCGAACAGTTTCTTAGAGAGGGTGTATGTGTCTGCAACTTTCTTCCCTTTTAAGAACAGGCAACATTAACTTTTAAGAAAGTACTTGTTAGAGGAAAACTCGCGAATCGCAGTTGTGCATTTTGCAATAATAAGCGTTGAAATGTTTCCTGTAATGTTCTCTACATTTTCTCTTGTCCTCCTAAAGTTTAACCTTACAAAAGAATTGTGTTTACCTAATGCTTGCACAATTACAAGTAACATCAGTTTCAAAGGAGATAAGGTGTAATTGGCAATACCTTTTGTTCACTTTACACCCATCTCCAACAGTAAGAGGCTTCCATGAATAAATGCTTAAACTAATAAAAAGCCATTGAGTATACCCTCACTTGCATGATGTGTTATAAAATAACAAGCTGTACCAGATGGCTGCCAACAATTGTGCTTTTACACCACCCATTAATAGTTTTACTTTGATCTTTTTTTTTGCTTTAGAATATATGGCACATCACTGAGTTCTTATGTACAATGTGCTCTTTAATGATCCATATCAATTTTAAAGAGAGTTCTGGCTATATCGCAACATTCACAGCTCCACATTGATAACTATCTCTTTGCCCTCATCAGGTTTCTGTTGATCTAAAGTGATTAAACAGTATCCATGTTTTCTTTTAAAAATATAAGCCAATTTTCAGAGTTTAAAGGAAAATTAGCATTAAAAATGATACTTTTCTATCTATTGCCTATTATCACTGAACCTGACGTTTTTTTTTTCATCTGAAGAACTTAATAGTAAATTGGAACATGTTGGTGCCTTTTTCTGACACAATGTAGTCCAGTATTCAGATGTATGATCTCATCCCATGGAATTGTTATTTTAAAATATGTTACCTTGATAACTCCTTGTTGAAAGATATCATAGCTTTGTTATAAGTAAGCTTAAACAGATGATCCTTAGCCTATTTTGTTGAGAAGTTCACAATGATCAGTAGCTGCTGGAGTATGTTTCCACAGGTTTTTAGAATGTGAATGTAAATATTCTTTTTGGAAAGAAAATGTGTTATCCTGTTTTAGAATCTTATCAAATCATAGAGCCTATACCCAAAGTTATGTCATTTGATCAGCCATCACTGTCACTTAATGCTCATTGGTGCATAAAGAGGTATTGAATCAATTTACTCTTCAGATAATCAAAGCGTTAACACAATGCAATGATGAAAGTGACTTCATAGTATACCACGGAGCAGGGATAGACTGTTTTGAAAATCATAACTTTACCTCCATCTCCTATTGACAAGTGTTTATTTTTGTTAGATGTGTGATTTTAGTTTCTTTCATCACAGTTTAATCCTATGATGGAGTATAAAATATTTACTGACTGAATGGAGAATCTTTATACATTGCACAATTGCTGCATGCATTACTGTGTAGTAGGACAAGCTTTTCCTTAATGCAGTAATATGGGATGTGACATATATTGTATTGCACTGGCAAATATATAAGTGATTTATGCAAATCTGAAACTATTCAACTATTGCTGTAAATTTTCAAGAAAATATTTTATAAAAGCAGAAGTTTTGTCTTGAAGATCATTAAATCTTTGGATAGTGGACTAGCTGTGCACAATTTTTAGTATTGTGCTCAAGTACCTTTTTAATATGGAATTAGTCAGCTTAATATTTTAATACATACCATTATTGTCTGTTACATAATTAACATGCAAAATCACTTTTTAATCAGTTAGTTTTTTTTTATAAACAGGCTATAACATTTAATAGAAGAGGCAAGATTCTACTTCATGAATCTTGTTCTATGAGAATACATTATACCATTGTTCAAATCCAGTATTCTGTGCACATTACTTGAATAGATGAATGCATAATCAAAAGTATCAATATTCTTGGATCATGTACATGAGCTTAAGCAGAATGCATAATATATTATTTCACGAGTGAAGTGAGCTATACATTAGCAATATATTCACTATGTCCAGCAATGGTACTTTCTTTAGTGTGTACAGTGTATATACCATGCTAGTTTTCTTGATAATAGTGGAATGATTTCTTGGGTCATTATATTATTATTAGTGCTTGACTCCAATACACACATTTTCATTAAAATATTTAATTAGAACTATGATATTTTTTGTTGAAAATTATCTCAACATACCCCTGATATATACAGTAAACTTAAGGAAGCCAAGGATGTATCCACTGATGTATCCACTGATTTTTCTCTCCTATTTCTACTTATAAGCCCAAGACTTGGATTCTGTGTACAACTTTAAATTTCCAAATGTGATATCTGAAACTCTTCAATGACTCATATTACTGAGGAAATTGCAAATTTTCAGGAACTATCCAAATTGACTGACAAATAAAGATTAGTTCCACATCATGTTTTGCAATTACATAAATACTACTGCTATCCATTATCATATTCCACATGATAAACCCATGCATTGTGTATCACTTACAAAAATAGTGTTGCACATTTATACACCAATTCCAAATCTACTTTTCAAATGTGTACTTTTTTCCCTCCTTTAAAAGGTTTTCAAAAACTGCTCTGTAAGGGAAAAGCTGAACAATTTTAGCGAAAGTCAAGTCTCAATGACAACAGCAAAATGTATATTTCATGGTGCCAAAGTCTAAGTTAACACAAGTATAGGAGTTCCCCATCAAACGGTTCATGGTACAAGAAGCATTTCCATCAGAAATTCAGTGGAAGACTGAAAAGAAGAGGCTTTGCATTGTAATTATCTGAAGTTTTACAGGTATATTTCGTAATTTGCGATCTACTTTGTGATTCATTGTATTGTTAAGATTAGTCTTTGTACAAGGGAGAAATACAAATATGTTCTATTTGTGATATCTGTAAAAGAATCCTGAAGTGTGTAACTATTTCATGCCGACAAACTAGTTTATAATGGAGGTGATTGAGGCAATAGGCTAGAACAGACGTGAGTGAGAATATGCAACATTTTTCCACTGATGTAACTCTATTCCCCATAGGTAACTTGTTCTCAGTCCAGGGTCTCACAGTGAGGAAAAAAAGAATAGGAAGAGGACAGTTGTGATAATAATGGCAGCATTATTGAAAGGAGATGCTATATTTTATATTGTCACTTGAATGTGGCAGAAACGGGTTTTTTTTACGAAATAGATATCAGAAGGGAAGATCCGTTTATACAAAAAAAAGCCACAACTGACATTGGGAAGCAATTATGTCATAAGTTTGAATTACTGCTTAATTCTATGCACTGGAGTCTGATAGCAACAGTTGGATAAGGAAAATACATACTTTTTAGAGGTTTAAGTAAAATGACAATTTGGAAAGTTGAAATTTCTTGGTAAACAACACTTACTGTAACTAAACTCTGAACCTGTGGACCATACAGGTTATGAACAGCTATAGTTTGTTAATGAAAACTATGGTACCCTTTTGATACAAATGCTTATCATGCCAGCAAATATTCAAGCAGTTTGAAGGATTGCCTTGTATAGCAAGGACTTTTTTAAAATAATGTTT